TGAGGCGCGGTCAGTGTAATGTGTCATATAGATCTGCTAACAATTCCTAGGTTTAACATTTTGCCAGTCGGGCCCAAAGTTGCGATTGTTTAAGCGAGCAGCATACACCGATTTGACACGTTTTTATGTCGTGTTAACCTGTAGTAAAATACCACGTTCGTCATGTTTCCAATGCTATCCATTCCTTGAAAATGATTTTCGGAAATTGCGAATACAGCGGAACGTCTAGGCTTTGCCAATGAGGACAGACAGTATTTAAGCATGCGTCCTGGTGGCCGGTTGAATACCCTCCGCCTGGGTGGGGTGAGGGGGGGAGGGGTGGAATAAGGGCAATTACACCTCAGTCTGACCTTCATGCCTGACTCTTGGTCAACGCGATTTGTTGTAATACTGCACTCATCTGGTTTGTTGCCTTAAAAATTATCTGAAGGATGTATGGTTTCGTCTAGGTTCGTCTATCTCAAGGTTTCGTCTAGCACTCCTTCGTCCCATGGATTTAACGATTTCCTAAAAATCGTCTTTGCTGCCACGGCCTGATTTTGACCTGCCATTTGTCAGCGACCTTCCATGGTGCATATGATTTTATACCAAAAACTTCCATTCAATTACCTGCAGTGATGGTAAGTCTCGCGCAGCCAAGCCACGCCCTTAGATAATTATGTTATAAAAAACCCTCGCAAGGGTGGGGGCAAATTGAGCCCCACTTCGCTGCGTGTTAAGTACATAAATGGATTAACTTCACCGACATTTTCGGTGGGTATATTTGTGTGCATGCCATGGAGGTGAATAAACGCAGGATATCATCGCATTGGCTCCAGGAACGTCATAATGAATATCGAAATTAGGAACAGGTGAGACACGCATGCCATGGTTGCCATTACTATCACGACTATCAAGGCCAATTAGTGATGTGCCATCAAAATTATAATAAGCAACAATACGTTGCTTACCAAATAAATCTTGCACCAACGTTTGGCTGCAAGTCCCGTTACATTCAGGAGGGCAAGTTCTTGGGTAAGTCCTTGGTTGACTTCTTGCGTTCCAAATATATTCTAGCAAACTGTGTCACAGTCGCGGCCAGTGTCATATGTTACTTTATTCTACTTCTCCCATTATTCAAATTATCGGCAATGTTTCGAGAAGGCACGTCTATGGCACCATCCCAAATCAGCCGGTAGAGCTAAACAAATATGTGAACCTTTCATCCCACGGCACAACTTAAACACCGGCACAGCGCCAGCTTCCGACAGCTGGGTAATTACGTGACGTGTTGAGGTACCAGGTGGGGGCGAGCGCAAACCCTTTAATGGCAAGCATTTTTCTGAAAAAGCCATTGGAAATAGATTATAGTCCCCAAACACATGCCTCCATCCGGTCGCAGCTCTGCATCGCCCCTAAAGCTTGCATTTTGGTGAGGCAGGTCGGTGATTGCCATGGAGGTGCAAACAGACATGGTCATATGGCTAAACACTTACTGGCAAATTTTTGGTGTTTCGTTTTGCCTGCTCTATCTCGTCCTCATTTTAGTGAAATCACCAAAAGCTATTGATTGGTAAGTCTTGATCGTAATGCCGTTTAACAAGATCAATGGGGTCGAGCGGATTCGCCTCTTCCCCGCGGTGCACGCTGCCCACATGTCCCTGAAATCATAAAGTGACTTCCACCCGAGAACAAGGCCACCAGCGCGCTGCGCACTTAAGAGCATATTGACAAAACAGTCCAGTGCACATTATGCCTTCCGCCTACACGCATCGTTTATCCACAGCACCAACAACGCTGGTGAAAGGCCGCGCTAGCGCGCTGCCGTGCCGCCCAGATGGTGTGCGGCACGGCAGGGAGCCGGGCCCTGATGGTACCACAAGACAGCGGCCACCGGACCGGAACCGCCAAGATGGCGGAGGCTCGAGGTGCCATGACCCCGGCACCGCCAGGTCGCAATTTATCGAGCTGTTTGTGACCCGGTTGGCAGGTCCTGACGCGGGTGCCGCGGTGCCCCGAACGCGAGCCTACTCGGCACGACTTCAACGTTGTCATGGCGCCAGGGGCAAACAGCATTCCAGCGTTCTGGAGCGCCCCAGGCGTGCTGGGCCCCGGTGCCGGACAGGAGGTGCGCGTCGACGTTCGCTCGAGGTAGGACACGATGCCCTTTGTGGCCTCTGAGGTTCTGTTGACGACTTGCTCGCGGGCTGCCGGGTGAGGCGGCTTACAGCTGCTGGCATTCGGGCCAGATACGATTAGTAACGGCATTACAACTTTGATCGTTGTGATCTATATTGGAATGCTATTTGCTCATAGCATTTATGGAGGTATAGCATAGGAGGTATAGAACAGTGCTAAGGCAAAACAACATAAGTCACTTTGGTAATGTGCCTGTACTTTTTCAAGCATTCCCATGAAGCCATCGTGCTCCGGTGAAGTTCAGATGTAATGTCCATTTATATGTGCAGACTACGCTGAATTATGGTCGACAAGCTATAGCACATGCTAAGCATATTGGTGATGAAATAGAAACATGTATTTCTTTGCCAATTTGAAGCAGCGCAGCTGCCTTTGAATGTTGTTCTGTAGAAAATAGTTTTTGTTTTGCTTTCTTGAAAACGTTATCAGGTTCTTGCCGACACACGACCGAAGGGTGTGAAATTGACGCTTAACTTACCTTTGAACTCCTTGGAGGCTTCGGGAGCCCCCTTCTAATGCCCCGAAGATGACAGGGCGGCAGACATACAAAACACAATCGAACCATTGCAGCGGGCATACGAAACACCATCAAACCATTGCAGCGGGAGCACTTGTGCAGCCATTTCTCTGCAAATGGCCTACACTGATCAGCACTGCGCTTACGTGCTAATGCACTTTAGGGTGTAAGCGCAGCGTCGCATGTACACATTGCGGGAGTTCTGTTATCCTTAGGCTTTGGTATTGGTGGATGACTGGGGTCATTGTCCTCAAATTGTTTAGAAACAGATAACAAACGCTTACGCCTTTGCCTCGCTAAGCATCGAAACTGACAGCATGAATTTGCATAAAGGAAACTTGAATTGCGCGGAGGATTTGCGTTTGCATTACCTGAGGTCATATTCCACAAAATGCATCAGGCCCAACCCGCCACGACCCTTGACTGCATCGGCATCTAGTTGGAGCCGGGGGATGATGTAGTGAACATCTAGTTGGAGCCGGGGAATGGTGTAGTGAAGTGGTGATGTGCAGGACAGGGACACAAGGGCTTTAATGAGGGGAGCTCTATCAATAAGCCACTCTGTCTGCGTGGCAACTTGGGGTGAATCACTATGAGCTTTGAAGAAAATGAGATAGTGACCGCTGGCCACCCCTCGGTCAGCTACCCCTGAGATAGCTGACCGCTGGCCACCCCTCCCTCCCCTTTTTCTACCCGAGCGCTTAAGGCCATTTATGGCACATGTTTTCAGAACGTTGTGCCTAGCATGAAAAGTACAGCATAGGCTGATGATACAGCGTTAGGTTCCTCATGAGAAAAACACGTTTACGGTGTACACGGATTTCATGCCATGTAGCCCTGTGATGTAGCCAACAAGACACACAACCACACTTAGACCAACGAGCTGGAGTAAATTGCCACATGTATAAAACTGCAGTTAGCAAACGTTCCACTTGCAAAGGGGAAATTGCTGAACAGTTGGCTTTGAATAATGTTCTTGAAATACCACATGCGGTTTGAGTTTTGTTACATATGCTGTATATTTCACGGAACTTTGCTGGTCCGCAACGAAGACTGAAAACTACTTCGTTGTCATTTGCTCTGGAATGGTACCAATTTGCTCTGAAAGCAACACATTTTCCGGTATTTACCGCAGTCACTTTCAACGCTGTTGCAATCAGTCAAGTGCCTGGAGCCCAGCACGGAAACTCAGGATCCCCTTAACATAAAGCCCTATGGACACCTGGATTCACCCTTTGGAAAACAGGACATTGCGCTGGTTGTGGAACGTTCCATTAAATCGACTTGCGGCCTCTTCTATTTCGGTAATGAGGTCCTTCAAATCCCCTGGTTGGATGCAGAAGTTTTCGTCGACTGCAGCCAAGCGCGAATTAATCAATGAGAGCTGATTCCTTATCAGAAGCTGCAATTGGCGTAACTTTACTCAACAACGTGAAATGATGCAAGTCACTTCAACGCAATTTGGCTGTCTTGACCCCACACTTATCAAATTGATGCCTATTTGATTTGTTTTCATCGAAACTCACCTAACGGCCACACTTGCAGAGTTGGGATCAAACCAGCCACAGCATAACATCTGACGTCCATACCCGTACTTTTTGCTTTCAACATTGTGCGCAATCAAACAAACCGCAAGCCGCCCCATTGCCGATACATACAAGGTCAGGTTTGCTGGGTGGCCTGCGCTTACCCTGGCAACCATTACCAAGTCATAATTACAGTATTCTGGGTCAAGGAGCCCAAGTTCTGGCATTACCGGCGATACGGTGATGTGGCATGTATATCCATATATATATATATATATATATATATATATATATATATATATATATATATGTTGCAAGCATCATCCAAGCTCCGTCATATTATGAACACTTCAGAGGGTCATGCGTTAGGGTCTGTGGAGGTAATGGAGAGGGGGAGAGGGGGGTCGGTGGAGGGGACGGACTCCGAGTCGCTGAGCCTGCGCCCTGCACCCCTCCCTGCTTGTTTTTCCGTTGTCAGAGGCTGCCGAGCACGGGCGTTACGGCCGGGCGCGGCCGTGTGATCAATAGCCGGTGTCCGTGCACGGCGGTAACCCTGGCGCCGGCCAGTTGCGTTCGCGGCGGCTGGTCGGCACCACATTCCGCCCGGGGCCAAACGGCGGCGCGGACGACGGGTCACGACGGAGAGGCTGCCATCGGCGCGGCGCGTGCGGTCAGCAGCGGTCAGCAGCGGCGAGGCTGAGGCGCTGCCATCGGCGCGGCGCGTGCGGTCATCAGCGGTCAGCAGCGGCGGGGCCGAGGCGCTGACGGCGGCGCGTCACGCCCGGACGGCAGAGCGACCCGTGGGTCCGTTCTCTCGAGCGGTCCAGAGAGGAGATCGGCGCGCTTCGTCAGGGGTGGCGCTGGCCGCGCAGCGTTCTGAGCTGGGAGCTGGTCTGATCTGAGATGGGAGCTGCTCTGATCTGAGCTGGGAGCTGCTCTGATCTGAGCTGGGTGCTGCTCTGATCTGAGCCGGAAGCTGCTCTGATCTGAGCTGGGAGCTGCTCTGATCTGAGCTGGGAGCTGCTCTGATCTGAGATGGGAGATGGAATATCGGCAGGGTGACGAGTGACGCTTGTGAACGAATTGTCATTAAATGCTGTCGTAGAGATCCAGTACCAGACTGGAAGTCGTGGAGATCGAGTACAAGACTGGTGGTTGGAAAGTTCTAGTGCAAGACTGGCAATCGGGAAGATCAAGTTCACAATAGGTGGTCATAAAGACAAGACTGGTAGCGATAAATATCGAGTGTAAGACGGAAGCAAAGAAAGGGCCTCCTCCTCCTTCTTCGAGGTTGCTCTCGGTAGATCACAGGGCGAACCTCAGGAGCGTTCATTCCGCTTGGTGACGTGCGGGCTATGACATCGGGTACGTTTTGATGACTGCCACGCATTCACATTCTGTATGATTTGTGTGTGTGTGTGTGTGTGTGTGTGTGTGTGTGTGTGTGTGTGTGTGTGTGTGTGTGTGTGTGTGTGTGTGTGTGTGTGTGTGTGTGTGTGTGTGTGTGTGTGTGTGTGTGTGTGTGTGTGTGTGTGTGTGTGTGTCCGTGTGCGTGGGCGATTATCTGTCCTTGTCATTGCAAATAATGCAAAAGCGTTCAGCGTCTGGTTGCATCACTCGAAAATGGCTATGGCACATATGGCTGCTCAGCCATACGCACCATGCCGTCACATTTCCAGCATCTAATGGTGAATCATCTCATGCATCCGTTTTATGGAAAATCTGTTTTTGTCTAATGACGACAAAGGTTATCGCTATCACCAGATCAGCGCCAGGGACCGCAGCGGAGGACCACACAGGTGGCGAAAGCTGCTACTAGAAACATCTTTGCAACTTACGAGTCTTAATCTGTATGGTGTTTCGTCGCTGCAATAATGCAAGACGAACGACAAAACAAAGAGAAACAGCGGCAAACAAAGGCAACAAAACAAAGACAAATACAAGACAAGCGTGTGAAACGTATTAACCAAGCTCATTAGTAGGTGTCCCGCTGAAAAAATTGTCCGGATGCTTTATACAGTGGAGTCCGGCATGTTTTATATAGCAAAATCCGGCACGTTGAACTAAATCCACCCAAGATGTATCCAAGTTGATTCCCCCCCGCAGCAGAGGCTTGTTTTCATCTGAAATTTGGTGAGCACAAACAACAGCTTCAACTATGTACAATATTGTCGCGACTAGAAACCTAACCTGATAGCTTTCTTTGTTCACGTTTCAGGAAGTCGAGTATTCGACATATCAGATCGGCACATGGGCAAAATGGACCAGACTCCGGGCTTCGACATGGACACCCGGGATCCCAACAACCTGAACCTGCATCTCCAGGTAAAGATCAAGTGCCTTGCACTTCCACTTTATTGAGACAGAGCACCGTGGCGTGCGCCACTCTTCATTGAGACAGAACACCGTGGCGTGCGCCAATCTTGCATATGTGCCTGAGGTGTTTGCCGTTTCCTTTATAAGCGAGTGACATCAGTCGGAAGATGCGTTCGCGCTCGTCCAGTCCGCAGGAGACGCGTATACTGTCCAGTTGCGACAGTTCATGCGCCAATTGACCGAAACAACGTGCATTGTGAGCATGAGTATCTTGAGAGCTCGCGTCTCCTCGCCTAGCACACGTTCCAGTGACCTAAGATTAAGCGCCATTCACTTAAGCAACATGCACGCAGCCAGGTGCTACGCTAGGTGTTTGAGTTACGATGTGCTGTCATTGCATACATGAATGATTTTTTTCACCAAAATTAGTTTTTTCAGTGAAGTTTTATGTTGCCTCTTCTCATCATCATATGTGTAGTCTCAACTGTATGCCAAAAGTTTGTTTTTGCTTTGTGTTGGTAAGTATATCAAAATAATTGTTAAGAAAACAGGAAATTTGTATTGATATAAGCGAAACACAGGGTAAAATCGCTCCCGCGTCGATCAACCACAACTGAGTAGCGTTAGCGGGCTAACAGTGCACGCTTTTATTGGGTTTATAGCTGACCAAGCGCTGATGGCGCCGCCATCCAGGCTCACACGACAAGTAGCACAATTCGCGAAAAGTTTTGCTGTAATATTTTCAAAGTGTTTACGAGCAGGCAGTCTCATCAGCAAGCAACGCCTTCCTGCACCACTGTAACATCACCTGTATGCACGCCTTATTTCCGTTAACACCGAAGGCGTAGAATTTGCAAATTGCAAAAAAGCTGAGAAGCAGTTGTCGAACGGCATCCTGATATCGGCAACCCGAGGATAATCAGGCGAACCAGGCAAGTCAGGGGCACGTAAGCCCGGTCAAGACCGGCGTCTGACGCTTGTCTAGGATAAGCGCGGTGCTGCAGCAATTCACGCTGAAACGTTGGGGGACAGGTGGCTGGCTGAAAACAGTCCGAGAGAGATGTGAATCCCCGGAGAAAGCCAGGAGCTGCCAAGACGAGCAGGTCTCGTCATCGAGACCATGGGCGAGCTGCCAGCAGGCCCTAGTTAGAACGCTACATCGAAAGCAAAGACAGGGTCTCAAATCGGAAGCGGTTGTGTGTGGGCACATGTCCACCTCTGCCAGCCTGCAGCCCATGCGCCGCCCTCCACACCCGGCAGCGGCCGGAATGGGCATCGGACGTGCTCGCTCACACATGCAGACCCCTCCTACCAAATCTCGCCGAGCATCGCTCGCCCTGCCGCTTCACTTCGACCGGAACATTTGCCGTGATGATGAACATTCACATCGACCGTTTGCCGTGCGCCCTTACGGCGCACGGCAAACAGGACCCCTCTGCCCGCCTTCGGGGTGGAGCCCAGACACGAGCTATGATAGATACTAATCTTGCAGCGGCTGCAAAATGCCACCCATCTTGGGGATATAGCCAATATAAGCACAGGCGGCTGTTTGAAAAGCTTCGGTTCACACGCTGCCCGTAAGATGGTGCAAACAGTGTATAACGTTCCTATGAAATCCCTGGTCTGCATTTCATGATGATTGGCGAATCTCAGGGCTCAGACTACCCAGTTTTCACGAACTGCTATCGCATAGCTTGTCTGTGTTACAGCCTTGGGCTGGAAACCAGCACGCCAACCCTGATGTTTGTGTATTCCAAAATGAAAATAAAATTATCCGTAAGCAGATAACAGGTAGGTGCGTGCAACAATGTTATCATTTATTCGATATCAGATCGCTGCTAGTAACTAGTAATTAGTAGCCGCTAGTAATTACCCGTTGGTGGGCACCACCTGCAACGAGAAGGCCGGTTCGCCACAAGCAACTTAGTTGTAAATATATGCAGTTTGAAAGCAAACTAATGCATGTATATCTACAACAAATCCTTTTTACTTACAAAAAGGATTTAAAAATTACGAAGTCCTTACGTACAGTTGCGAGGAACATAACGCATATAGATAACATAGCACTAATAGCCTTATTCCTCGCAAGATAATTAGGAGAATGGAGAGAGATATATGTATTTATATCTCGGCTACATACCTCTATCAAAACCAATATCAAAAGTTGCAAACACACTCTTTCACACACACACAAACTCACACTCTCACTCACTTACATTCATTCACACACAAACTCGTTTCGATGAAACCGCGCAGCTAAAATACCAATACACGCATCACTCTATTCTCCTGATTATTCTTCGAAGGCTAAGGCTGTTAGTATTGTCCTATCTTTTTTTAAAACTTGACTGAATAATGCTTTGCATAGTGTCTGTTTCGTTCAAAGAACTTGCTAAGCAGTTTATTGCATGTGCTCTGAACCTACCATCCCGATTATATCGCTTCAGCGCATCACACAGTTCCTTGAAGTGTGTTGGCGTGACCTGACCTGTCGTCTTCCAGGATGCATGGATGAAGGCAGACATGCAAGGCTGCAAAGGCTCTGGAGAGTGTGGCCCCGGTAAATGGGGAGCTAAACTAATTGCATGCCTATCTGGACGTTTCATAGATGATTTCATTGTCATTCAAATATTGTCTGGTCTGCTGTATCCCAGAAAAACAGCGGTTCTGGGACACGCCTTACCCTTTTCCCCGGCGCTTGCCGTTTGTCCTTCGCGTGCGGTCTTCTGCTTCTACACGGAAGAACATAACCTTTATGTAATGATCTGTTTCGAAGAAAACATACCCTGGGGTGCCCGTACAGACGACTGCTAGCCGCATCGACGTCTGGGCGCATCAACTGATAGCCCTTGGTAAATTACGACCCTCCTGAGCATGATGGCCTTCACAGCAATCGCACATCTCTCCAGCGATGGCGGCGCCGGCAAGACAAAGCGGCAGAGGGTTAGGCGCCACATCTGTCAGCTATTCGTCCTAGTACCCCACACCGCTTCCGGGAGATACGACAATGCTCGTAGCACGCGCCATCTCGTCTGGAGGTCACGAGCTTGGCACATGCCGCGGGCGGATACAAACTCGGTGGGCGGGGTGGAAATGTTGCGAGCACACCAGCACCACAGCGAGGCTGCTGCAGCGATAACGCCAACGCAACGGAAGGGAAGCGTTTACAGAGCAGCCAAATTGCCTACAGCTAGGAAGACGTGAAGTATTTGCTGGAGCAAGTTGTACAAGTGGGCGATGCTTCATCTAATCTCAGGGTTGTTTGAAACTCTGAAACACCACTGATCCCACAACGCCTGACGTAGATGACTGACGTCACCCAAGCGCCGCAAAGACAACTGTCGTCATCGCCGATCCGTGGATGAGGATGACGTCATCCCAGAGCGGTGGAGGCGTGGGTTGATGCGTGTGTTGACCATCCTCCCCCACTCCGCAGGTAATGTGGGATGACGTCATCGCAGAGCCGGAGGGTATTCGCAGTCGCGACTGTACCTGGCGCACTTCCTACAAGTGTTTCCGCGGCGCCAAACACTGCTGCTACCGGCTATTGGCCTGTCTGCTCGGCCCTTGTCTGGCCTGCTGTCTGGGCTGCCAGTTCGCCTGTCTGGCCTTCCAGGTGAGATCGAACCGCGGACTGTCCGGCTCGTCTGTGTGACCTTTCAGTTGAGATCCAACTCTCGGTAGGCTGCGTGGACTGTTCGGTGGACTGTGGACTGTTCACCTGTTCCACTATTTCTGGCTAGGTCCACATCGAGATTGACTAGGCGGAATGTCTGGGTCCGTCCGTCTTGTGTCCGAGATAAGGCTCAGTGGCCGACGTGATGCTCCATTGTTCAGCTTGCCAGAATGGTGCTCCGACCGGATCTCAGTTCCATGGTGTTCGGCGGCGCTGCTGACTGTTCGCTTATGTCTGTCTGTTTGCTGGTGGCACGAGCTTCCTGATGATCGGCTGTGGTTAGTCATTTATCCGGTGCTCAACTTAGTGGTGCTGGAATATCCTTGTCACCACATCGAAAACGTGTGTGACATTTCAGTGTTGCAAAATGCTGAACTTGCGCGATACTGATGTAACCGCTCGCAAACCTATGTCAACATGCCTGCGTAGGTTGCGAAGACTCCCTTATGCGCTGTTGTGGTGTCTTTAGGTCTAGGCAGCTCACTTGGATTATTTCAGCACAATAGCACATGGTCATTATGCCAAACTCACACTAATCAACCCAACGCTTAGTCCCCCCACATGTGCCAAAGCCTTGCATAAATTTTGGAAATTTAACAGCATCGCTTCCCTCCGCCGTCGCATGGACCATGCATGGCAGTCACTGACCCACCCCTCCGCGTTGCAGCACATCTGGTGCAACACGCCGTGCCTGCGCCAGTGCAAGATCAACTGCAACTTCATCAGGGCCGTCAACCGCATCTGCGCCCAGGCCGTGCTGGCGCCTTGCTTCGACGTGTGCGGCTCCATGTTCCGGCGGATCAGAATCCGACATGGCCCCATGTCCGAGGAGGACATCAAGGAGGAAGACATGTTCACCGTGTAGTCGGTGCCATGGGCCGCCGGCAGGGGAGCGAGGGGTGGGTGAGGCGGCGGACGCTCTGAGACCCCGACCGTCGGCGGGGGCGCGAGGGGTGGAGGTGAGAGCAGACGCCCTGGGAGGCTGGTGGAGGTGGCGACGTCTGGGAACTGACGAGCGGAGGGCTCTATCCGTTGTTACAGTGAACCGGTGGACCACCTCGAACGAAACGGGTGCCGGCGGCGAGCAAATAGGCATCACTTCGGCAATAGCAGTGCGTCAGAATTCAGACGTACGTCTATCTAGGAAAACCGCGACGGCTCGTCGCGAGCATATCTGGGAAAGGTGGTGCCAATATAGGCCCTGGACGTGTTATGGAAGACAATATGCACGCACATTGTGTTATGAAGGCTGCACATTTGAACTAGGTCCTGAAAGCAAGTCAGAATGGCTCGGGCTCACCACTGAAAAGGTCTGAGCAATGCATTCATGCAAACATTCACCGTGAAAGCATTCCCACTCTTACTTTGGTTCTGATGTGACTAACTACGCGTTTTAATCCCAAACCCTGTGACATTTACGAAAGTGAAGGCGTGCATAAGCCGCTGGATAAGATTGCAGTTGGTAAACCATATTGAGCATTTCGTGCACACCGCCAACACGAATTGTGTTACACTGCATCTACAGTAACATTGAGGTTTAAAACAACTTCACGTGACATACACTACAGCAGAGCTTTTGTGGTGCCATGCCTTTTTGATTATTTCAAGCGCCCTTCTAGTCCTCATTTGTGATCCGATCACCTAGATAAAATGCTAGTTTTGGTTGCTTATTTGATGTATTGCTTTAGATGAATTCTCTGCAATAAGGTGTGATATCCATATTTTAGATAGAGCTTACTTATATGAAGAGATTCGAGCGTGAATTATCGTAGATAGATTGCAACACGTGACCTACCAGTGATACCAGTGATAGCGGCTATTTAGTATTGTTGTTCTACCCTCCTTAAAAGTCGCATTCAAGCAATCGCTTTCAAAGCGCGATTTTTGCGCTGTCAAATGTCGAATATTATTTGGTCGGCATTTGCAATTATAAGGCGTTTCATGCAGACCCCTATGCAGTGTTAGTGTTAAATGTAGCTTGGGTCTTGTCATGCTGGCTGACACTGTTTACAATTTCCACACATATCAAGCTGAGCAGACCGCTCCATTGTGTGCTTGCGAAGCACTTTAGCCAAGTGCGTGGGTCGCGTTAAAGCAATGTGCAGACCGAAATCACCTAATACAACTCAGTTCACAATCGACAGCAACGATACGAAAAGTTTTTCTAAACATATCCATGCAGGGTTGACCATTGCTGATCATCGTTGATATGATCCGACACCTTGCTACCAACCTCATTTATGCTCACATCGTTTGCCCAGGCCGTCGCGTGCGCTAACTCATACTCCCATGTGTTTGAACCACTGTGTGAGAGGCCATTCAATGCTAATCGAACAAACCCAGAGCGAGGAGGTTATTGTCCATGCACTTGCATTTTTGGAACTGTTTTGGTGTTAAGCGCTAAACAAAAGTGCGATGTATCGTGTTATTTTGAATTCATTTATGTGGCGCCTTCCTGTGTCTAAATATTCAGCGCAGCTTTGTAGCACTGATTATCTAATAAAGTATATATTTCAGCACTAGTATATATGTTCTTCAAGCTGGTGCGATCTGCAGGGGTGGGAAAAATGCACTACCTGTCACCGATGACCTTTGACACCGTCTAAATTGTCAGCAGGAGCCAAACCTTTCAGAAACTGTTGGGAAATAAGTATAAATACAATAATCCACTAGACAAAGAAAAATTTAATGCAATGCGGCATGACCATCAAACATTTTTTATTCGGGAGTTCATTGGCACTCAAGTATCATTTGCTAGCCATGAAGCACTGAATGAAGGTTGAGACTCAACGAATAAAATTATCAGATGAAGTCAAAACAGCTTGGAGGCGTGTTTTTCGTATTCAGCTGGGGGAGGGATTTGTGCCTCCTAACCATGAATCTAGGGTACTATTTTGATTTGTCATTTTTAAGCATAATTCTTCATTAATCACAATTCTTGGGGTGTAGCCCCCAAACTAGTTTAAAGAAACTACGCCTCCGCTCCCAACTGTGAAAAGAAAGTGCGTCAACTGTGTGGAGAAAACTGCTTTGAGTGCTTTCTGGAGGCAGACTAAGTCAGTTGGTTAACGCGTCTGCGTTAACCACTGCGCGTCTGGGAAACTAGAGGTACGGGGTTCGATTCCCCGCGGTGCCCGCCCTTCCCGCTAGGGTGAGAGGCAAGCGACGCCATATAGCCTCAGCAGCTGAGTGCATCGTAAAGCCCCAATGACACATACACACAAACTCAGTCGCTTTTTTCTTGCTACAACCCCTCATCTCTCAAACCTACGTATTTTGAAAACTGCATCCCTGTAGTCCTACATTTACCGACAACATGGGTCTGCAAGCACCTAACAATATCGCCTCTGGTTTTGTGACGTCATCATGCATCAGGTGAGCGCGCAGACCACCTTCACTATCTTCGCATAGCCATTACCGGTGCAGAGCTCACATTTACTAACATGATCGCAATCATTTGGAGCAAAACCCATGCAATTTTGGTATCAACAGATGCAAACTGCATTTTTGAACACCTTTAGCACCGTCATTCAGTTTTATATGCAATATGACAAAAATAAAAAGCGCTTATCTCACGCCTGTCCATCTATAGGTACGCTAAGCTAGAGGTACAACAGACAATGTGAGAGGTCTACAACAATGACGCTCAGTTTCTTACCTAAACGCCACTGTTACTCTCAGCAGAAAAAAACCGGACGAATCTCTCACATGTGTCGCTCCAACGTCCTTCGTTTACCCTGGAGCTGCAGTTCAGGAATCCACAAACAACAATCCTCCTAGATCGGCAGGGAATTTTAAAGCTATTACATTAAAAAGCTGACGATTAGCTACGTTCTTCTAACCAGTCAGATTTTCACGAGATGAGCATAACCAAGAGCAGCCCACAGCCTTGCACTGAATCCAACGCATCACAGCGCGGAGAGCGTTCGAGCCCATCTGTCTCAAATGGCAAAACGCTTTAAAATGCCGTGTAGCAGACTGACCACATTCGTCGCTATATTTTACGGCCAGCTATCATCCTGATGACTAGAAATAAGACTAGTTATTTGGTATTTTATACTGTTTAGTATGTAAAGTGAATCTTGGCGGAAAAAATATGTGGAAAGTACTGATATGATGGACATTGGGGAAACACTGTGTCACCGCGGATCTGCAATGTCAGCACTGCTATAATATAGTTTGTTGTCTATTTCTGACACCTGCTAAAAACTGCTCGGCTTAAAGCTTCCATGTTTAGCAGCATTTTAGTACTCGGTTTGCTCATACAGCGAAACGTCAACGTTTCGACATGTTACACATATGCTCACGCTGCAAGTGCTAACGAGCGCAGACCAATATTGAGCTTTGAGTTTCGCTTAGCTAGGATAATAATTTATAATATGGTTTGCTCTTTTGACATTTGTTTGCATTTTTGGAATTTTGCCAGCAATTGGTTCGCAGAAGTGTCAGCTCTTGTCACCGATCACATCTGGTAAATCAGAAGTTCTTTCACCCCTGGCGGTCTGTCTCATCCACGAGTTCTTAATATGCAAGTGGTACTACTGAAGCTTCTCCAAATGACGCAAACCCAACATATACATCTATCCGGATAAGCCAACGGCGATGAGCTGAAAATAGCGGTGAACGGCAAAACCAATGCATATAAACTGAGTATGTGCTTCTAATATCACAGCTGGTGATCAGCTTCAGCGCCGAGCTTATTCGTAAACCTAAATGTAGTTCACTACTGCAACATAATACGTTTCAAAGAACCCGGTCACAAACACTTTCAGGGACACTCGCCATCCCATCAGCTAACACTTAAGACTTCAGATGGTCTCCGTTGGGAACTATCCGTACAGTGCTTCAGACGATGGGATCTTTTAATCCCATACGCCGTGAGGGTGACGACGAACATGTCGCAAACTGACATGCGCACTGCTTATATCGAATATATACATATATATACATATATATACATATATATACACATATATATATATATATATATATATATATATATATATATATATGTATGTATGTATTTATGCACGTGTTGATTTGAAGATTTCTCCACTCGTTTTAGTAGGGTTTATATAGTTTCCTATACTGTCTTTGGGCATTTCCTTTGCAAATTTACTTTGGGAGCTTACATCGGGGCTTTGCTTGCTTTTCACCCTGATAGGAAGGGCGTGCACCGCGGTGAATCTATCCCCGTATCTCTGGTTTCCCAAACACACGGCCCAGTCACTACATTATCGGTGCCCTGCAGTTTCCTGTTCAGTTGGGACCCCCAAATTTTAAAAGAATGCTTCGAGAAAATGTGTGCGAAAAACGGTTTCTTCGGAAAACTGGTTTTGAGCACATTTTACGGTATCTCCAGTTTATGTTGCAGAACTGCGCCGCTAGGAGTATTAACAAGTTCGCAGAAACATCCTTCTTTCTTTAGTTTTCACATCGTGTGTCTGCTGTTTATCTATTTAATCAGAGCGCGTGATTAAATCAAGCATTGACAAGAAAATACTGCACTAGCATTATCTGTTTGTCAAAACATTGTATTTTGCAATTTTTCTGAATCTGCAAATTAAATTAGTTCTGCAAATACTAAAATGCTGCAAAATTGCAAATCAACACCCTTTTTAACAGGCAACATGATAATATCGCCTATCACATGTCTCTGAACGCCCGCACCGCAACCCCGCCGCCCGCAGTGCCCCGCCGCATCGCTTCCGCTCACGCCCTGCACCCGCCGCTGCATCCCCGCGCCGTCCCGCACCCCGCCCGCGCGGACCGTCCCGTGCGCCCGCATGGGGAGTCATCAAAACGTCTAGAATCGCAGCGTCCAGTGCTCATATCGTCCAAGATCGCAGCATCCAGCGTTCATAGTGTCCAGAATGTGTCCAATTCCGTGCCCATTGGGGGCGTTCATAACGTCGAGTGACGCAGCGTCCAAAGTTGCAAAGTCCAGAGTCCTTAAGTCCAGTGTTCAAAACGTCCAGTATCCATGGCGACCAGACTACTTTGGATTCCTGTCGCTAGAAAACACCACAGAAGCATCTTTGAGTCCTGCTGCGATTTCCTCTTCTATCAACAGATGGCGCAGTCAACCTGACATTTCCCTGATGATCACGTGATGCGTACATTGGAGCATGGTTCCATAAATCACCTAGACGCCTGGCGGCCGTGTCCGGCCTGGTCGCGGCCGCGCCCCAGGGCTCACCGGCAGACTGGGCGCAGACGCGCCCGGCGGCGGCGCGGCCGGAGACATGGCGGCCGGCGTGGGCTCGGCGGGTCCTCTGCGCCGGCGGCCCGATCGGCCGCCGGGCGGCAGCGCGGCCGGAGACATGGCGGCCGGCGCAGGCTTAGTGGAGACCGCTGCGCCCGCGGGGCAAGCGGGCTCTCCCGCCCCGCCGCTGCTGCCGGAGCCCCAAATGCCGGGATACACTGGGTTGCTGAGGCGCCCTTCATATTAGTATCGAGTTCTTCATATCGGGTTCTTTCCACTTGCTTCGAGGACCCCGTGCTGCTGCTGGGGCCCCACATAAGGTAACGCTCCGAGGCACTCGATGCTCAGAGGCCCTTTTCATTGACCTATGGTTTTTTCACTTCTTGAGCTTTTTTGCTGAGGACCCTTCACTTGTCAGAGCTCTCTCTGTTAACCTGCCCGGGCATTCTTGATCACTCAGGGTGTTAATTCATGCATACGGATCTTCGGTTATTGCCCTTTGTTCAGAGGATCTGTACTCCGGCCGAACCCTATATGTTAGCCTGCCGGGATGCTCTCAATCGTTCAGGGTTCCCGCCATATTGGTGTTGGGTTCTCCTCGCTTGTTATGAGGACCCTTCACTGTTCACTGGAGCGTCTTTGTGACCTGCCACGGCAGTTTCGATTGCTTAGGTGCCGTACTCATTGGTCTCTGGTTCTTCCACATCATAGGAGGGCCTACACTGTTGACGGGACCTAAATATTAATCATGGTTGTTGGGGCTTTACTTCTTACCGACCGATGACTGAATTTGCGGCTATGTCGATTACGTCGATGAATTCATTCTTGTCATCGTCGAGCATAATTTTACACGCCACCGACGTCGTGCTCCTTATTTCTGTTGTCTATTGAATTTGTGACGAGTATTAGACTTGTACGTTGCGTTCTAATAGAGTTTGAAGTATAGGATACTCTGTATTCCCTCTCAACAGACAAACCACAAACCTGTATAAGTCTTCAGCCACCAGCCGATCCCATCAGCTACCCCGCTAACCGTATATAAGCTAAGAATCAAGCTTGTGCTTGATTTTGATGGTATTTAACAGCCTGTTCAAGTGTATGTTGCCATGTTTTCTTCGAAATACTTAGCCATAAAATGACAGCATCCACCAAGTTCCGACAAAAATGAGCGAACTCCATGTATTTGCGTACGAAGCACGCCTAGTTTTCTAGGGCTGTGCGCAGTAAGCTAGGCTCCCTCATACAAACGGCATACACATAAATATTAAGACTCAATGGCCGGAATACGAGGATTTTTGGTGGATAG